TTACTTCTTCTAAAACTCTCATAAAGAAAGATTATGTTCACGACCGAAATAAACACAATGGTAAGAATTTACTTATGTATAGATATGATATGTGTGATACATATTGTCTAGATTTACCACAAAAAGTGGTTAGTTCAAGACTTTAGTTCACTACCCACGAAGTAGATTCGATATGTATTTACTAGGAACGGTTCAAGTCCAAAAGACACCTTTTTCCGATGCATTTCATATCTAGCTTGGTGATAGATAAATAAGTTCCATAATATTGCTTATTTTCTATTCAAATGTGGGGTATTATTTAGGTTTGAATATAAATGTGGGGTATTGTTGGAACTTGGTTTAATGGTGAGAAACCTTGTCCCACATAGGAGAGCTAAGGAAACTTAACCCATTTAATATACACCAACCCTTGAGCATTAAACAAATTATTTAAAAGCTTGGGCCTTGATGTGTGTTTCATGGTGGGCTCTCCTTGATATACATATACATATTTAAGGTCAAAAGATAGGACTTGGGCCTTGGGGTCTCTTGATCTAATATAAACTGATTCGAACGGCAATTTTTTTCTTTCTCTTCTTCTCTTGCTGGATATAGAACAGAAAAAAAAACTCTCGTTTTCTCTCTCCTATTTTTCGTACAAAAAATTCATCACCAAACATAGATTAATTCGCTAGATTCAGATGCAAACTTGAATTCAATTGTTGTATCCTCTAGACGAACGCCAATTCTACCGGCGAATTTTTGTGTTAGGACACTGCGATTGTGCAGGCCTCAATCGAGATCAATATCACGAAGAATCTGCAATATCAAGTATGTTTTCTCCGATTCTATCATTGTAGATGTTAATTATGTTAATTACATAGATTTGTATTACAAGTTACACTTTTTTGAATAAGAATCTTTCGTTTATCCTATAAAATTCTTTCAATTTATATACATCTTTCTGTTTTGGATTGATGACTAGTGATAACCGGGTTTTAGACAACCTGAGTTGAGGTAACTTTTATGTGAATATTTTGTGCAATACGTGTTGGCATGCATGTTATTTAATTAAATGCATGGATGGCATGCGTATATGTGAAAAAGGTGATATTGTGCATGCATGTATAGGTGTTCACATATGTGTGTGCACATAAATTGAATTATATGTTGGTTGAATAAAGTGCTTAATCGGTTTATTAATATTAAATTGAGAAGATGGGTGACCTTCATGGTTAAAAAAGAGTAGATTTTAAAATATTAAAACCCACCGCCCAGAGAGTTTTATAATACTAAATCCACCACCGCCCCTATTAAGAAATATATATATATAGGAAAGTAAAAAGATAAGATATTATCTTATCTTGCTTTTGAAAAAGAAACCTTTTAGAGGGAAAAGAAATTGTGTGTCAAGGCGGTTGAAGTGTTCTTGAGAAGGATTTTTGCTTAAAAAGTGATTTGAGGAATCTGTGTTTATTTGAAGAAAATACTGTGTGTTTGAAGCTACCAATCTGTACTTATTAAGGTGAGTTTTGATACTAAAGATCTTTAAATAATGATATTTAAAATATGTGGTTTTGATGTTTGATTTTGAATAAAAAATGGTGTAAACTGTTTCTAACAATTTAAGTTGAGTTTTATGAATCTGGGTTTTTGGAAACAGTTTTGGGAAAAGAAAGCAGATGTTGCTCTTTGAAAATAGTTTATGAATGATATCCTATTTTGAAGGATTTAAAAGAGACTTTGAGGTTGGAAATGAGATTGAAGGAACTGGTTGTTTTTGAGTTTCAAAGTTTTAAGATAAAACCGTTTTGAAACTATTATTGGTTAAAAACTATAGAGGATGTTTCTTCAAGACGGTTGTGACTTCGGTTTGTCTTTGTTTGGAATTAATCTATATATTTTGTGGATAAAACTATGGAGGCTGTTTCATCAAGACGATTGTGACTTCCGTTTGTCTTCGTTTGGAACTAATCCATAGATTTTGATGAGAAAATAAGGATGACATATCAAGAAGAGGTGTACCATGGGATAAGGGTGACATATCAAGGAGAGGTGTACCTTCGGTTATAAGGGTGACATATCAAGGATAGGTGTACCTTTGGATATAAGGGTGACATTTGTGTGTGGAATTATTATAGCTTGTTGGGTCAGCAGACTCGGTGTTCCCTCGGCAGGTCAAATCCTCGTCCTTAAACCCACCGCTCCTGTAGCAATGCAGGAGCATCCCACATCGGTGAGGCTAGGGAGTCTTCTCTTCCTTATAAGGAAGTGGGAGTCTTCTCCTACCAGTGACGCGTTTTAGAAAGCAAAACCGTGAGGGGTTGTTGCCGTGCGGGGAAACCCCGGGGCAGCCCAGAGCGGACAATATCACGTGGGCGGCTCCCTAGTGCAGTTACCGGTCCAACATAGCTCTTGCTATTATGTCTCTTAAGATTAAAATAGATTTGAGTTCTTACTTCTTTGTGATTTGAGGACTCAGAAATGTTGTTCTTATTAGAAATGATAGTATTAATGTTATTGAGAAAGAGAAAACTTGGCCTATGGCCAATGGTTTTGGATAAACTCTGTTTTGGAACAAAGTGTTTGATTTATGAGGAACCAGAGATGCTCTGGTTGTTCCTTGAAAGAAACCAGAGGGGGTCTGGTTGGTCCTCATAGTAGAACCAGAGGGTTCTGGATGATAATTCAATATTGATGCAAGTCTTTTACTAAAGTTTTATTTAAACCAGAGGCTCTGTATTTATTAGATAGGAGTTCTGTGTCAAAATTATACTCTAAAAGATACTTCGAAGATTTTACACTTAGAAACTTTTCATACAAGTAAAGACAGACCATATGGGCTCTGGTTGGTCTACGCGTTGAAACAGAAGGTCTCTGGTTGGTCTTACATTTTGAGCTAGAAGCTCTGGCTAGTAGAACCAGAGCTCTGGTCATACAAGATGTCTTTAGAATATGTTTTTATACTTGGGAAAGCTATCTTACTAACTATAGTGTTGATCTATGAACATTTTGAGGATTTTACTTGAGTAAGAGGCTCTGGTTGGCTTAACCACAAGCTCTGGTAGAGGAACCAGAGGAGCTCTGGTCCTGCTATCTTTTGAAATATTTTCTAAGTCTGTTCTTGGAAACCAGAGGTCCGATGGACACCAACAGAATGTGGATTTACATCTTATTATGTGAAACGATTTATTTGAATAATGTTTTGGTGATTTTCACCCTGCAACTACATGGAAAAAAGGATCTCACTAGACCTTTAGGTCTAACCCTCATTTTGTGTTTTCAAATATGTATTGCAGGAAATGCAGAGTATAATGATAATAATGAAAAGGAAAAATGTGAATTGTTTCCCTATGTGCTTAGTTATGAAGATCAATGGATGTGTTTTGGAATTAGATGATATGTAGTACAAGAACATGTAATTTGGAGTTTTTGGATTGTGTATCTTGTAACATAGTTCTTGTATCTTGGACCTTTGTGGGGATTAAACATGTATTCTCTGTATGAATTATATATTATATGCAATGTGGAAGTTGGGGTGTTACATGACTCCTAACAATTACGACAAAATAGTGAAAAATAAAGAAAGAAATAGCACAAAATGAGCCAGTAAAAAAAAGAAAAGGAAGGAAGTTGAGGCCCGAAGATGAAGGTCATTAAGGTTCCCATGATGAAAATTGAAAACGGGATAGATTTCGTTTGTGTTATAGACAAAATATGGTATTGTAGATGTAGATATTAATTATTTGAAGATGATATTTTCAAAACATTCGGGTTTCAATTTTGAGAATAATTTTTTTAGACTATATATGTTTTAAGTCGTTGAATGCATGTTCCATATATGACGAATTAGACTGCTGTAAAATCCATCATACTTATGCTTCTTTTCATAATTCAATGTCGAATGTGAATATGATGAAATAGCCTCTTGAAGAGAGGGACCAAATCCGAGCAAAAATACAAACCATAATGCCAAATTGGAATAAATAAGTTGTGTGGATTGAAACTGTGCAAATCGAAAAAGCACAGGGACCAAAAATGTATTTTCTTCTATAAATTGCATTTTTCACCTATGATATATTAAACCCTCACATAAGTTTCTTGTCTCAAATTGACACTTTTAACTAGTACTGTAAACGAATCCAATGTTGAGTGAATCGTTCATCTTAAAGTTTGTTTATTTAATAAATGAGCGAACATGAACAAGTTTTTTGGTTCGTTTAACTAAACGAACGAGCACGAACAAATGTCTCATTCGTTCAATTTATATTACCTTTGTTTATGTACGATCGTTAACATTTGTTTATTCATTTGTGTTTGTTTATGAAAACACAATTATTAATCTAAACAAATTAATAATACTGTTTTTAATTGATTAAAAATATACTGTAGTTTTCAATAACCGTCTTTTCATTTTTGATTTCGTAAGTAGTTCAATTTTTAAGTGATCACGTTATCACATATCAAGTACATGATACAATCCAATAGTTTATCACATCAAGACGTACTTCTTGTTTTTCTACCGTGCGTAACTGGTGATTGCATAAGATAGTTTAATGATGACAGATTGTTATTACTTTTTTACAATTTCCGAGAGGAACGACATGATGTGTAACGGTGGGTTTTTTTTTTATTCTATCCGTTTGTTTATATTCATTGACGTTCGTTTAGGTCGTTTGACATCTTATCGAACAAACATAAATGAACACGAACAAACCCGTTTTCTTAACGAACGAACATGAAACACAAAAAAACCGTCGTTTATCATCTGTTCGTGTTCGTTTACAGTCCTACTTCCAACATCTGATAAAGTACATGATGTAAAGTGTTCTTATTTTCTTACACTTCACACTTTTTTCATCTGTATGTCTTACTTTTACCTGTACAGTCCTGTCTTTGTAACAAAAACATCTAAAATTTAGAAAAGATAAAAGTACAAACAGGATGCGTATGCAAAAAGATTAAACCACAGGGGCCTAAAATAAACTTTTGTCGGTGTCATCTGGAAGAAGAGAATCGAAGTCGCGGTGTCCGCATACTGCTTTGGGGCGGCTCTAATGGAACGAACTTTTTCAACGCATATCGATCGCCATTTCTAGATTCAAGGAGAAAAAACAGCGCCGCTTCATCTTCCACAAAACTAGGATTTGTAACTTTTTCTTCTTTATTTCCTTGTTCGATTCAATTTTGTTTTACTTAGCAGTTACTGTTTCATGATTTCATCGTTTTTGGATTACTAATTTCTGATACGTAAATCTGAATGCGGAAATAAGTTTGTAAGCTAGAACTTTAGGGTTTTCTGTTGAATTTACTTATAGATCTAGTTTCTGATTCGAGAATTTAGCGTGTTGTGGCTGTAATGTTTTGTTGTTGCTTGAATCTGTGTAAGGTGATTGGTTAAAACTTTTGTTATTGAATAATACTCCTGTTAGTTTGTTGCTTCTTTTAATGGAACATGCTATGTACTGTTTTGTTGTTGTTGCTGTTGAAATTTGTTGGTGTCTTATAGATGCTTAATCAAAGTAATATATGCATAATTGTCAATTCATTGGTGGAATTAAGATTGGCTTCTGTTTGTTCTATAATCGTTTTTTTGTGATTGCATATAAATATAAAACAGTACACTGAAAGCAAGTATTCTATCACTTAAAGTGATCATGAGAGCATTGTCATGTCCAATTAGTAATTCGTTGCATCTTTACTAAATACAAACAAAAAAGATATTTCAATTAGTATGGCTGCTAATAAGTTTTGCCTAAACTCTAAACACAAATGCATACAACAAATGGAACTAAGGAAGGAATAGGTAAAACTTACAGAATAGTATAGTACCAACTTGCCAATTCAAGGGTCATTGTTTAATACACTAAGAGGATTATGACTCAGCAGTATTCTATTCATCAACCATATTGTCATTGCATGCTTCATGAATTGATAACTATGAATTTTGATAATTTTAATTTTGGACACTGTTTGTTGGGTTTGTGAGATTTTGCCAGGGGGATTAAAGTGTGGTATTTATTTTGCAGTGTTTGAGATTATCTAAGAAAAAGAGAACTTGAAATTTGGAAAAGATGACGTGGATTAGGGCTGGATCAAGTGTGGCAAAGCTTGCGATCAGAAGAGCCTTATCGCAAAGTGGATCATATGCAGCAAGGAAGCGTTTACTTCCTTCAGAAAGTCGATATTTTCATACAACAGTTTTCAGATCAAAAGCACAGTCTGCACCTGTCCCTCGACCTGTTCCACTTTCTAGGTTAACAGATAGTTTCTTAGATGGAACTAGTAGCGTTTACCTGGAAGAGCTTCAGCGAGCATGGGAGGATGATCCAAACAGTGTTGATGAGTCATGGGATAATTTCTTCAGGAACTTCGTTGGCCAGGCTGCTACATCCCCTGGAATATCTGGCCAAACCATTCAAGAGAGCATGCGGTTGTTGTTGCTTGTTAGAGCTTACCAAGTTTATGGCCACATGAAAGCCAAAATAGATCCATTGGGTCTGGAAAAGAGGGAGATTCCTGATGATTTAGATCCTGCTTTTTACGGTTTCAGCGAAGCTGATTTAGACCGTGAATTTTTCCTTGGTGTATGGAGGATGTCTGGGTTTTTGTCTGAAAATCGGCCAGTGCAAACTCTTAGATCAATATTGACCAGGCTTGAACAAGCTTATAGTGGAAGCATTGGTTATGAGTACATGCACATTGCTGATCGTGAACGATGTAATTGGTTGAGAGATAGAATTGAGACTCCAACTCCAACGCAGTATAATAGTGAGCGGCGGGAGGTTATCCTTGACAGGCTCATTTGGAGTACTCAGTTTGAGAATTTCTTGGCTACTAAGTGGACGGCTGCTAAAAGGTTTGGACTTGAAGGTGGGGAGACATTAATCCCAGGCATGAAGGAGATGTTTGATCGTTCAGCAGATCTTGGTGTTGAGAGCATTGTGATTGGAATGTCACACAGAGGAAGATTGAATGTCTTAGGTAATGTTGTCCGGAAGCCACTGCGTCAAATTTTCAGTGAATTCAGCGGTGGTACGAAGCCTGTGGATGAGGTTGGGCTTTACACTGGAACTGGTGATGTCAAGTATCACTTGGGTACCTCATATGATCGCCCAACAAGGGGTGGAAAACGAATTCATTTGTCTTTGGTTGCAAACCCCAGTCACTTGGAAGCTGTAGATCCTGTTGTGATTGGGAAAACCAGAGCAAAACAGTATTACTCAAATGATGTGGATAGAACAAAGAACATGGGCATCCTGATTCATGGGGATGGAAGCTTTGCAGGGCAAGGTGTAGTCTATGAGACTTTGCATCTGAGTGGTCTTCCAAATTACACAACTGGTGGGACCATCCATATTGTAGTGAACAATCAAGTTGCCTTTACCACCGATCCGCAGGCAGGAAGATCTTCACAGTATTGTACGGATGTTGCTAAAGCCTTGAATGCTCCCATTTTTCATGTCAATGGTGATGATGTAGAAGCAGTTGTTCATGCTTGTGAGCTTGCAGCAGAGTGGCGCCAGACATTCCACTCAGATGTTGTCGTTGACATTGTCTGTTATCGCAGATTTGGGCATAATGAAATTGATGAACCCTCTTTTACCCAACCCAAAATGTACAAGGTCAGTCCTCCTATGTATACTCATTGTCGCATTTTACTTTGCTGTTGGTCAATCTTTTTTCTAGATCCCGTGTCTTCCGCCTTGATGCTTTGGTTTCTAGTGTTTTCACCAACTGCTGTAAGTATAGCTTCTAAGTTTCTGAGCTGTACTGGTTATTATAGATCATCAGGAATCATCCCTCATCACTCGAAATTTATCAGAAGAAGCTTCTAGAAACTGGCCAAGCAACAAAAGAAGATATTGATAGAATACAAACTAAGGTTACCTCGATCCTTAATGAAGAATTCCTTGCCAGCAAGGATTATGTCCCTATAAAAAGGGACTGGCTTTCAGCATACTGGACTGGATTTAAGTCTCCGGAACAGCTTTCACGTATTCGTAACACCGGGTAAGTTTTTTGTATGTTGTTTTATATCGATAGTCTCATTGCTTGACCTCTCTTTGAGAATTTTATGCTGTTTTGCAGGGTTAAACCAGAGATCTTGAAAAACGTTGGGAAGGCGATCACAACCCTCCCAGAAACTTTTAAGCCTCACAGAGCAGTTAAGAAAATATTTGCTGATCGTTATAAAATGATTGAGACTGGGGAGGGTGTTGACTGGGCAGTTGCAGAAGCCCTTGCTTTTGCAACATTGCTAGTCGAAGGAAATCATGTGAGATTGAGTGGTCAGGACGTTGAAAGAGGTACTTTCAGTCACAGGCACTCTGTCATTCATGATCAGGAAACGGGAGAGCAATACTGTCCGTTAGACCATGTAATGATGAATCAAAACGAGGAAATGTTTACTGTTAGCAACAGGTAAATGCAAATCTCTCTATGGATCATTGCACGATTCCCTACAATTTCTTAAATATTCGTGATTGTCTTATTCATCATGCACTCATGCCATCATGAAGCTTATGTTATTGTTGCGAATGTTTTGTCATGATCAGAAAGGGGAGTGATCTTCTAACATAACTAATTACGGTGAACTCCTTAAATAGTCCTCGAATTATATGCATTTTTTCTGGATGACTTATTTTGCTCCTCGAAGTGAACAGCACATCAGTTTTGTTAGTTTAGGTGATAGTGATTGGAAAATTGAGCTACTTGCATTTGTATCTAGAACCATATCTGCAAATTGATGTGGATGATTGAAGATCTACCCTTAGAGATCCTGTATATAGTGCATCATACTCTAGCAGCATCCTAATTTGAACAGTCTGTGTAACACCTGAAGGTGATGGGATTTATGAAGCAGTTGGAAGATTCGATTTAGTTGGTAGTAAATTAGGGAGGGTAGAGAGATTGGTCAAATGATCCTGGTGTTTCTAATATGCTATAGGTCTGGTATACAAGGGATCTATGAGAAACTCGGTTAGCCTTTCTGTTAACATTTAGCAGCAGTAAGGTTGCTTATGAATAAGTGGTATTACATCCTACATCAGATCTTGGCAACTGTCCTTTACTATGATTTTAAGTAATAGTTCCATGTCATTCCCTAGCATTTGCCTATTATCATAGTTTGCATGAAGTCGTGAACAAAAATCTTGTTCACCAGGAAGTGGAAATTTAATGCTTTCTCCTTTCCACACCAAAGCAGTGATGGTTCTCTTAATTTTCTTTTACATCTATTGCTACACATGGGTAGTTGGTTAACATTTTGGTTCTTCACGTCCTCCAAATGGTCATTTGTGAAAACTTGACCTTTTCAAAATGGGTTACTGGAAATTGTGCTCTTTCATGTTAAAATCATGTTCTTGGTCTTTTGTTCCCAAGTGGTTCTGCATCATGATGATGATCTGAGACAAAATAGCTGTAATCCATCAGTCTATGTTGAGTATTTATATGCAGACATGCTAGTTTCTTATGACATTTATATTGGTGAGGGTCATCGTGATTCTTGTGCATGTTGGTAAAGGTGTGTTACACAGATTGTAGGGAAAAATACTGGGCTGATCAATTAGTCAATGGTAGTGGCTGGTCAAGTGAGATAAGTCGGTTTGTTAGGGGAGAATAAATAGGAGGGTGGAAGCGAGTAGGTATCGGTTTTGTAATCAATTGGGTGTAACCCTTAGGAGAGTTATTGGTCTCTCGGAAGCCAGAGTGTGTCATAATCATTCGGTTATGAGTGAATAATCAAATCTTACTCTAGTTTTCTTGATAATCGGTATCAATTTGTAACAAGGTGCTATAGAGACTCTCTGTACCATCTGCTTATTGATCTTCCTGCATGCATGCTGGATAGATCAATTCTTTAATATTTTCCGTTTAGTTTTTTTCTTTCTTGAGGAAGCAACAAATCAATGAAAAGGAGACCTTATCTAAGGAGTTCGCACGGTTCTAAAGGGGAAGCTTGGTCATTCTTGTGATTTGCTATAGTGGTTATCACAGTGGTATAGTGGAAAAGATAGTGGTTGACATGATAAATAAACATAATTATACATATATATATGTTGTACTTGATATATGTAAATATATGTCTAATAATAATATTTAAAATCACAATGTTAATAAAGCCTTAAAATTATTTTAGTATATGTACTTGATATTTAAAGATTATATTTTTTATCAGCTACATTGTAATTTGTTTGCTTGATGCACCTGTATATTGATCGTGAAAATCCACAAAGTAAAGTCACACACACATATAAAGAGAGAGAGGAAGAGAAAAAAAAGATCAAAGAATCACTCTGCTGCTGTCCAGAGAGAGGATAGACGAAGAGTCACAAAGACAATGAAGAAGGAAGAAGACAACGAAGAAGGGTCCATCGAAGGCATTCACCAGAGAACACAAACAATCATATCCTTACTTCTAGGGGTGCTCACGGCCCGGGTTGATCGGTTTGGAGCCGTTTTAGTAACCCAACCCAATGTTGGCGGTTTGAAAATTTTCAACCCAACCCAACTCAAACAAAAGTTCAACCCAACCCAACCCAACCCGTTCGGGTTGATCAGGTTGGTCGGGTTGATCGGGTTGTGTTTAAACAATGTAAAATCACATAAAAATAAAGGAAACTTTCCTTTGAAATACGACCGACTATTCAAGATAATATGCAAGTTCATCAAATATTTAGATATTACAATAAAAATATTCAAACCAAATGATAATACATCAATCAACAACAATAGTTTTAGATGTTTCCAACCCCGATGCTTTCGCTTTCTTGACGTTGAGGTTGGTCATGTCATGATTGTCATCTATAATTCAAAGCTAAAGTTAAGGTCGGGTTCATCGGGTTGGTCGGGTTTTTTTGGGCCTGACCCGATGTCAACCCAATAAGGTCGGGTTGACTAATTTTTTTATCGATCATGCATAGGGTTACCTCGGGTTGGGTGTTTTTTTAAAAATTCGGGTTGGGTTGGTCGGGTTCATCGGGTTCATCGGGTTTTTGAGCACCCCTACTTACTTCTACGTTACTTTTATGGACCACCAAATCGATGCCCTAATTTTTTTTGATTAACCTGGATATCCAACCCGCTATGCGAACCGACTAATCCCAGGGTGACCACATGCTTTGCAGATAGCCCGGAGTCACCACGTGCCCTAATTTCATTCATGGGCCAGCGATTATCCAACGGATTTTCCTGAAAAGAAAGCCCAAAAAAGTTGTTCTCACAGTGCTATTTCAATTACAAATCATGGTAAAATAGCAGCAGTTTGCACCACTAACAGCGGTACCGTAATTAGCTACCATGATAATGCAATCGTGTAGCGGTCAAGGACAGCTAGTCGCTATAGCACCGCTATTGATTGCCCATCACCTTATGTTCATGGGTTTATAATAGCTGTTATTTATTTAAAGCATCGGATTGTATTTCTTTTATTAATTTCCTGTGCTACAAGGCATAGGAGTTCTGATGGTGATCTTTTGCTGCTTGGATTCTTTTGTAGATAACTGCAGTCAGTTGCTTAAATTTTCATGGTAGAACCAACAGTTATATCTCTCTGGCTCTCCCTTTGATACAATGCATTAGAATATTACTTTTTTTATTTTTCTGCTGCTTATTTTTTTACTAGTCTTATTTCTTTCTTTCCTTTTCGCACACTTTTGCACAAGCTGGAAGTCTTCGGAATCAGTACTCTCCAATCTCCAGTTCTGACGTTCAAATTTTCAATGCAGTTCTCTTTCGGAGTTTGGTGTCCTGGGATTTGAATTGGGGTATTCAATGGAAAATCCTAATTCACTTGTTTTATGGGAAGCTCAATTTGGTGATTTTTCAAACGGAGCTCAGGTGATATTTGATCAATTCTTGAGCAGTGGGGAGGCCAAGTGGTTGCGTCAGACTGGGTTAGTTGTGTTGCTACCTCATGGTTATGATGGTCAGGGCCCCGAACACTCGAGTGCAAGACTGGAACGCTTCCTTCAGGTATCACTCTTGCCAGAACTTCTTGATACAGTCATGTGTACACATGTCTTGTCAATATATCATATATGCATGTCGAGTCTAAACACTAATGATACAATTCGTGCGTTGGCCTTTAGCTCTACCTTTACATAATATGGTAGCTTGTATTCTCCCTTTGTTAACTCGATCTACTTTGTAAAATTTGATGGCAGATGAGTGATGATAATCCGTTTGTTATACCGGAGATGGAACCTACACTACGCAATCAAATTCAAACATGCAATTGGCAGGTTGTCAATGTTACAACTCCAGCAAATTATTTCCATGTGTTGCGTCGACAGGTGAGCTTACCCGTGTGAGATTTATGAAAGGATTTATGAAATTTGTTACCTTCTCACATTCTCTTGTTGTATTCCAGCTGCATAGGGAGTTCCGTAAGCCACTTATTGCAATGGCTCCTAAGAATTTGCTTCGTCACAAAGAGTGCAAGTCAAATTTATCCGAGTTCGATGATGTCCAAGGTCACCCAGGTTTCGACAAACAAGGGACCAGATTCAAGCGACTCATCAAGGACCAAAACGACCATTCGAATCTTGAAGAGGGCATTAGACGTTTAGTTCTTTGCTCTGGAAAGGTTTGTAACATCTTGGAAATAAACAATGCTGGGATGGGAATACATAGCACTGAATGATGGTTGCTCTGTACAAAATATCAACATTATATTTTCTCTTTTGGCATTCCAGTTGGTGTAACGAGACTGCATTTTGCAGGTTTATTACGAACTTGATGAAAAAAGGAGGTCAGTTGATGGTAAAGATATTGCAATTTGCCGTGTTGAACAACTGTGTCCATTCCCATATGACCTCATCCAGCGTGAACTGAAGCGCTATCCAAGTAAGTTCAAACCCTCAAAGATTATTAGCGTACATGCTTTATCACATTCCAACTTCCATAGGAGGTTCCTGCAAAAGATCAACCAATCCCCAGCTTATTAAATATAAAATGTTTGACGGTGCATCTCCTTTTTAGAATAACTTTTACCATTTAAAATCCCGGAAGGAAAACCAATAAATGCCTAAAGGTGAGAACTAATGCCGTCTCGTTTGAAGATCAATTGGTTTGGGTGTGTCGTTTCAAAAACTTAGAAGTCGTTTACAGCTAGTTTTCCAAACATAGCTTAGGTGTTATACAACTACTTATGACGTATTTAATAACAATTGACCAATGCACCCTCCTTTGTAATCCTTCAGATGCCGAAGTTGTTTGGTGCCAGGAGGAGCCAATGAATATGGGGGCTTACAGTTACATTGCCCCACGCCTCGCCACTGCCATGAAGGCACTGGATAGAGGTACATTAGACGATATCAAGTACGTCGGTCGTGCTCCATCTGCTGCAACTGCAACCGGTTTCTACACCGTTCACGGGAGAGAGCAGTCAGAACTTGTGCAGAATGCCCTGCAGCCTGAACCCCTCACCAATCCTGCGTTTTGTTAGATCCCAAGCGTGCGGTACAGATCAGAATCATGGTGCCATAGCTACCATTCACTTAAACAGTGCTGTTTGAAATAACTTTTCTCCTATTCGCAGGGTTTCCATCTTTAGCGTTGGTGCGCCATTTTTTTGCTTTTCAATTTTCCAGAAGTTATTCGCGTATGAACAACATTACGCATGAACGTGAAAATAATAACAAATGTTCAGGTGAGATTCATATACGTGATGCCATCATGCCATGGGTTCATGGTGTATCTTTTCTTTGCAGTTAAATTACACTCAACTTGTGTTGGTAATCCCGACGTTCATATCGGAATCATAGAGGTCGAGATTGAAATGCAATCAGTGTTCATTTGATTCAAAATTCGTACTCACACCTGCTTAAACATTGGATTGAAGTTTCCAAATTTACCTTGCGTGGATCGTATTTTTTTTAAGATGTATAATATTTATATACGACAAATACTTACTCTTGCACTGAGTGAGGTTTGAACCCTTGATCTTCTGAATATGATACTAACAAAAAACATGCCTTGGTATCAATTGTTTACGAATAAGTAACATGCACATCAATTTCATAAATGGTGTCGTTCGTACATTTGGCATCTAATTTTTAAAAATCGATGTAAAGAAGTAAAGTTATACAAATTCCTTTTGTGCAAAAGGGTTCGTAATCGGTAAATCGGTCCACAATTTCTTATTTCAACAATATCATGAGAAAGGTAAATCGATGTAATAATTTGCATTTTTTTTTTCAATTTTGGACAAAAGGGGTATGGACCCTTGTGTTCAAAAGTCCATGGTTTCTAGAAGTCCTTGTCTTGTGACATACGTGATGATGAACTACGTCTTTTAAACGCCAAGTGTTGGACTTAATAATTTGGATTTTAGGTGTCGTGAACTTTTATTGTGGATCATATAATGTGATGTGTGCATGCCAATTGCCAAATGGTAAACAAATCTACTAAAAGAACAAAAAGACGTACCTACCATTTACATGATTAACGTGACTCATGGCCCTTCAATATAAGGTTTTTAATGGACACTTGGCACAAATCTTGTACTTGCTTTCCTTATTGCGAAAGGAACACATAATGCGTATGTGTCATTTGATGGGTGTCTCAATTTATTTTATCTTTTCTTTGTCATGGTTTATTAATCCACCAATACCAACATGCCAACATATTCATAATCATCAGATCAAGTCGGGTTTTGTTTGACTGTTAACTTTAAGACTTCATAGGATCAGTCATGTTGTGTAATCTGACTCAGATACACATAATTATCTGAATAACATAACAAAACTTGCAAAAGAAAAGAAAACAAAGAAAGGTATTTAGATTTTGTTAATGTCGTCATTTTATGTATTTAATGTTTTGGCTTTACGACTTTACCTGCTTTTGTTATCGTCATCGTAATAAAGTATATTTTTTTTTTAACTGACGTAAGAAAATATAATTTAATTATAAAAAAAGAAAAAGGAAAGTGACTTTAGGATGATATTTTATCGTCGGTTTCTTGTTATACTATTAAAAGAAATACCCACTTGGTTTGCTTGTCCAAATTGCCGAACTTCAAGAGGACCAACATTAATAAAACATTATTTGGTGGTTTCCTTTGTGGTGCAAATTTGCCACCACTTTTCTTTATTTCTTTTTAATTTTTTAAGTTGGTGTTTTCTTTTTGACTCTATTTATTCAAACAAATTGTTCCTAAAATAAGAGTGAAAGAAAAAAAATTAATCATTTTGTTTACCTCTTAATAGTTCCATTAAGATGCATCATCTGAATCGTTAAGAAGTGAATCTTGTTTGACAAAAAAAGTCGATCTCTTAATGGTTAAAAAACTCTCTGAATGATTTTGTATCATGAACTTCTCTTAACCATTCAGCATCCTAATTTCATTATAAAAAATTACCAAACAATTTTATTTTATTTTGCACTATATCATGAGAGCTTCTTAATCATTCTGACCACTTAATTATTCTCCACCAAATCATTCAACAATTGTCAAACAACCCTTAAGTGGTTATAAATTTGTGTAAATTATAAACCAAGGTCTTAGCCCTTTTCTTTTAAGATTATAGTGGATGTATTCGAATTCAATCATAAAAAAGGAATTTATATATAACAAGAGAAAGTTGTAAAATACACTAAATAACTCATCCAACTATAAAAACGTTAAAAAAGACATTGGATTCTCATATTTGTGTCATTTACGTTAAATTTGCCAAAAATATGAAAATGTGACAAAATCAGGTCATTTTGGTGGGTAAAAAAAATCAAGTCAAAAAGTTGCACGGTGTATTTGGGGTGGGGCAGGGGTACTATGCAATGCATAGCAAGGG